CCTGGGGTCATTGATGTTCTCCCCTGGGATCATTGACGTTCTCCCCTCGAGTCTTTAACGTTCTCTCCTAGGGTCATTGATGTTCTCCCCTCCAGTTACTGATGCTCTCCCCTGGGGTTTTTGACGTTTTCCCCTTGGGTCAATGACATTCTCCCCTGGAGTCATTGACGTTCTCCCCTCAATCCAATAATATTCTCGCCTCTGGTTTTTAACATTCTCTCCTCGGGTCATTGACGTTCTCACCTTCAGTTATTGACGTTCTCCCCTTGGGTTTTTGGCGTTCTCCCCTCGAGTCAATTACGTTCCTCCCTTGGTTCATTGACGTTCTCCCCTCAATCCAATAATATTTTCTCCTCTGGTTTTTAATGTTCTCCCCTCTGGTTTTTAATGTTCTCCCCTCGAATCATTGATGTTCTCCTCATGGGCCATTGACGTTCTCCCCTTGAGTCTTTAACGTTCTCTCTTCGGGTCATTGATGTTCTCCCCTCGGGTCGTTAACATTCTCTTGTATGATCTCTAATGTTCTCCTCTCTGATCTACAATGTTCTCTCCTCTGTTCTGAAATGTTCTCTATTCTAAGTAAGTAAGTAAGTAATATTTATTTATATAGCACCTTTCACAGACAATGACATCACAAAGTGCTTCACAAAGTAAAAGTAAATAAAATTTAAATGAAAGCCAGTCTGAATAAATAAGTCTTAAGATCATTTTTGAAAGAGTCAATGGAATCTGAACAGCGCAGTGACAGAGGGAGAGCGTTCCAAAGCCTGGGGGCCAAAACTTGGAATGATCTGTCTCCACGTGTTTTAAAATAAGTTCTCGGAACTATCAGCAACATTTGATTTGAAGATCTCAAAGTCCTGATGGGACATAGAGGCTTCAAAAGGTCCAGTAAATATTTGGGAGCCTGACCATGAAGTGCCCTAAAAGTTAGAACCAGAATTTTAAAATGACTCCTGAAATGCACAGGGAGCCAATGCAGGGAGGCCAGAACAGGAGTTATGTGAGCTCTTCTGTGGGTTCTAGTTTGCAGCCTCGCCGCAGCATTCTGCACAGATTGAAGGTGAGCTAGGGAAGATTTGTTCAGACCCATTAAAATGCTATTACAGTAATCTAACCGAGATGAAATGAAAGCATGAACAATCATCTCAAGTTCCTTCTGTGATACAATTCCACGTAGTTTAGAAATGTTTCTTAAGTGGAAAAAACAATTTCGAACTAGCAATTTGCAATGACTGTCCAAAGATAAAGAACTATCAAAGACAACACCTAAATTTCTGAGATTATTATTTACCAAAGGATTTAAGAATGTAAGATACTACCTGATTACTGGGATTTTATCATCAGGGGCAATAATAAGAGTCTCAGTTTTATTTGCATTTAACTGCAGGTAGTTGTCATTCAGCCATGTTTGGATCTCTAACAGACAGTTTCTGAGTTCTGTCAATTTATGGAATTCGGAGGCTCGAAAAGAACAGTATAGCTGAATATCATCAGCATACAGATGGTAGGACACATTAATGTAACGTTTCAAAATAAAACCTAAAGGGCGTAAATACAATAAAAAGAGGACTGGACCCAGAACAGAACCCTGGGGTACCCCACAAGACAGCTGTGCAACATCAGAGTGAACATTATTCATAAAAACAGTAAAAGACCTTTCAGATAAATAAGAAATAAACCAATTTAAAACGGTGCCAGAAATACCAAATAGATCTCTTAGTCTGTTGATAAGAACAGTGTGATCCACTGTGTCAAAAGCTGAAGTCAAGTCCAATAAAACCAACACAGTGTAGTTTCCAGATTCAGCTGCCATCAATATGTCACTAGAAACTTTTAAAAGTGCTGTTTCTGTGGAGTGCAATTTGCGAAAACCAGATTGAAAAGAATCCATGATGTCATTTACCTCCAAGAAGCAGTTTAATTGTTGTGCTACAACCTTCTCAAGGATCTTTGATAGAAAGGGAAGTTTGGAGATAGGTCTGTAGTTTTCAGGCATCGAAGAATCCAAATTTGGCTTTTTTAGCAAAGGACAGACAATAGCAGTTTTAAAATAGTATTCTGATTTTCGTGATATTACGCAGGTGGAAGAAGGCAGTTCTGTAACAATTTTAATGTGGAGAATAAAAGACATGTCCTGATCAAAAATAACACCAAGATTTTTAACATTAGAGCTGGAGGACAGATTAATGTCATCTAAGGAGGAAGAAGGACTGAAAATAAGATGCTCAGGTCCAAAAACCAAAACCTCAGTCTTGTCTGAGTTTAAAAGCAAAAATTTAAGGATCATCCAAGTGTGTATGTCTTTAAGACGTGCGTCTAACTGATTGGATTCATTGGGTTTCATGGACAAATACTGTAATATTTTATAATAGTTTTACGATTTACAGTACAACATTGTAATAACAACAAATACAACTGAGTATCATCAGCATAATAATGAAAATTCATGCTGCCTAATGGCAGCATACATAGTCCAAGCACTGAACCCTGAGGAACTCCATAACAAACTTTGGTATATGAAGATTCATTATTTACATTTACAAATTGGAATCTATCAAATAAATATGATTTAAACCAATTTAGAGCTGATCCTGTAAATCAAATATATTCAAGTCCCGGTATTAAAACATGATCACCTGTACCAAACGCAGCACTGAGGTCTGAGGCTGAAACGCTTCACATTATTTCTGATGTTCATGCAACTGACCTGCAACTATAGATTTTTTTAGATGAAAGTTAGATTAGGTCTATAATTGTCTAGGATTCCTGAGTCGAGGTTCTGTTTCTGAAGTAAAGGTTTAATTACATCACTCTTAAAGCTCTGTGCTACTTAACCGTAAATTAAGCAGATCCAAGAGGTGGTTATTGATGAAGGGAAATCCATATTTAGTTTGGTTGGGATGGGATCTAGCAGGCATGTGGATGGTTTGGATGAAGCCATTATTTTTGACAAGAGCTCAGGATAAAAACAGTCCAAACATAAATCAGGTTCTAGTGACATCAGCTGCCTCATCTGAGCAGAACATGTCCAACGTTCTCCTCTGATCTGTAATGTAGCTGAAGCAGAACCTCCCTGCTCAGACGTGTCTGTGTGGGTGATGTAACCCGCTGCAGCTCTCCGAACCAGGAACAGTTACATAAGGCGGCGGTACCGGCTGTTCCCGTCCCTCACCCCCCTCCTTACCTAAAGTGGACAGCCTCTCGATGAGTCCCGCATCTCTGATCACCTTTGGGCCGAGCTCCACGCCTCTCCTCTTCTGTCGGAACCAAAGAAGAAGGCGGTTTGAGTAAAAGCGCGTCCTGATGAAACTTTGAGGCAGATGTACGGAACCGGCCGGCTCACCTGTCCTCTGGAGAACGGGGCTCCAAGAACCGCCACAGACTGGGCCCGGCTGTGCTGGCAGCTCCGTCTCAGCTGGGTTCTGACCAGACGGGAAACTGGGCCAGTCAGAGCCATCTTCCTGTTTTCAGTACCGGCTCCGGTCGGAGTTCTGATGAAACGCTGCTCTGCCGGATGCTGCGGGTCCACGGAGGAAGGAGTTCTGGGTTTTAAGATCCACTGATGTCAGTCTGGTTCTGGTTCTGGTTCGGAGGACGGGGCTCAGTCACCGAACTTCTCCGTTCATAATCCGCTCAGGTGCTGATCAGAGAGACACACGTTGACTTTTTAATCGGCACTCTGACGTCACACATAATTACACACCTTTGAGTTGACCAATGGGCTGCGTCTGGGTGGGCGCGTCATCAGGGTGGGCGTGGCCTGCGGGCAGACTTTTTGTGATGAGTCTCGTGGAGGCTGAGGTGCTGTGTCATCCGAGTGGAAAATTCCAGCGCGGTTCTGATGGGCCTGCTGCCACCCCAGAACCGAACCGAGCCAGGTGCTGCAGTCACACAGCTCTCTGCTTCCTACACCCCCACAAAAACAGACAGGCCCGCCTTCTGGCAACGAATGCCTATCGCCCGTCGCAGTTCAGTGGCTCCAAACTTTAATCAGGTGTAGAAGAACATCTAACGATTATGTCCTGAGAAATTAATTACAACCCGTCCAGCAGGTCATTGGATATTTTGCTGACAGAGTTCACTCTCAGCTCCACCAGACCTGGTCAAACGAGTTATAAAAAGTTTGGATTGTAAAGGCTGGTAGAGCTGCCGCCTCTCAACAAGAAGGTTGCCGGATAGAATCCCGGCCGGGGGGCCTTTCTGGGTGGAGTTTGCATGTTCTCTCTGTGCTGCGTGAGTTTTCTCCGATTTCCTCCCACAGACCAAAAACATGCATGTTAGGCTGATTGGTAACTTTAAAATTGTCCCTAGTTGAGAGAGAGAGAATGTTTCTTTTGTCTCTGTGTCCCTGTGATGGACTGGAGACCTGTCCATGTGTCCCCCACCTCTCACAGTGACTTTTGGATATGTGCACCAGTGACCGCCGTGAACCGAAAAGAAAGAAATGATAAATATAATGGATGGATGAAGGATGGATGGATGGGTGGATGGATGAATAGATGGATGATGGATGACTGGATGGATGTATGATGGATGGTTGGATGGTGGATGGATGGAAAGTTTGTTGGATGGATAGTGAATGGATGGATGGATGATGAATAGATGGATCATGATGATGATGGATGGCTGGTTGTTTGGATGGATGATGTATGGATGGATGACAGATGGATGGTTGGATGAATGATGAATGGATGATAGATGATGATGTATGGATGGATGACAGATTGATGGATGGATGGATGGATGATGGATGGATCATGGATGGATGATGATGTATGGAAGTTGTATGGATGAATGGATGGATGGATAGATTGACAGTTGGATGGATGGATGATGGATGGTTGATGGATGGATGGTTAGGATGATGGATGGATGGATGATTGATGAATAATGGATGGATGATGAATGGATGGAAGGTTGGAAGGATGATGGATGGATGATGGATGGATGATGGATGGATGGATAGATGGACAGAAAGAAGAGAGGTGGACAGATGATGATGGATTGATGGATGACTGATGGATGGATGGATGGTTAGTTGGATGGATGGATGATGGCAGGATGATGGACAAACAAATGATGGATGGATGGTTGGTTAGTTGGATGGATGGATGGATGAAGGCAGGATGATACAGAAAAATGATGGATGGATGATTGATGGATGATGGTTGGATGGATGTTGGTTGTGGTGGCCATCTTGAATCAAGCTGACTTCAGATATTAATCATCTGTGAGTGAACATGTAAATGTAAATCTTTACTTTGATGTTTTCAACACGATCTTTTAATAAACAAGATGCTCTGCTGTTTCCCGGTGGTTTTAATAATGTCATTCAAAGGCTCTGTGACCTCATGGCGTGTTCGTAAGTCTTTCATTTGTTTCCTGTCTGGCAGGTATGATCACACGGTGTGTTGTGTATACACTTGATTCTTGGAAGGTCTTGTCTCTCAGTGTTTATGTCTTCATCATACTGGTTGTGTTTGCTTGTTCTCTCTGTGCAGGACGTTTTGTTCACTTCTTCGCCTTTACAGATGCAACGGTTCACTTGTTCTTGCATTGTGGACCTAAATATAAAAGTATGGAAGCCCAGTCAAGCCACACTGTGGGGAAAATCCTCTAAGTCATAAATAAAACCATACATTCTCATAATTATGACTTATCATATCTCATAAGGAGATAACATGTGAATAGACTTGACATATAGTTTTAAAATGCTGAGTGAGAAATTTGAGGAAGTATCAGAAATGTAGAAAAATAAAACTGGATCAGTACACACACTGCTGGACTGAGGAAGCAATGAAAAGTGGGATTAAATGGACAGAGACTGATAAATAGCTTAACACCTCACATGATGACAGCAGGGAGCAGGTGAGAGTGGGTGGGGCACAAACTGAAGCAGAAGAGGTCACCTGAGGCAAAGAGGCTGACAACAACAAACAAACAAACACATGGAAAACACAACAAAATCAACTTTTAACAGAAAAATCACCAGAGAAGTGGACTTTGTAATTTAGGAAGTATGTTACATTTAGAAGACAAACTGTTGTATACTTTACATTTAGAAGACAA